GGTCGCGCAGCCAGTTTTCCTAGGAGCCGTTGGATTGCTTTGATCTCGACACAACGGCTATAAATAGGGGGCCCGAGACTCATTTGCTTCGCCAAAAATTCGCTAGCCTTCGATCTGAGGTCGCGTTCAAGTTCCTTAGCTTGGTTTCTCCAATTCGGTGTCTTCCTTCAGTTCAGTCTCTTTTTGGTGAGTCTTCCCTAGCTCTCCTTTTTGATTCAGTGTCTTTTCCATGTCTAGCTTTAGTTTTGATAGTCTCTTAGATGGGAGCGGTGAATCCGCTGGGGCCGAGGTGGGTACCTTAGCTCAGGTCGTAGATTGCCACACCGAAGAAGCTAATTTGGGTCAAGAAGCGGTCCGCGGTCCTCCTGAGGTGGAATCACCCCAGGAGGCGCAAGAGGCCTAAAGTGGTCTGGCATCCACCTCGCATCGAGGTCAGCAGCCAGATAACTTTGGCCCATCGACGATGACAGCGGACAGGCTCCAGTCCTTGGTAGCTCGGTATAGGCTTCCGAGCAACCTTGTCTATAGTCTTCCCCTAGGTAACTTTCCTTGGGAGCACGGTCACGATGAAATCATGATCTTCGAGGAGCAGCTCGCAGCTGGTCTTCGTCTTCCACTTCACCCCTTGATCGTCTCATTAAACTTTTTAACATTACCATAGATCAGCTGCACTCGAACTCTATCCGTAATGTAGTAAGAACCATCTCGCTCTTCCACGACTATAACTTGCCTCTTGACCTTGATATTTTTTCTTCCACTCTCAATAAAGAAGAACTCCTCCTGTGTTCTGCCTGAACACAGGCGCACTTACTACCTGTCCCCTCGTTCGGGCTACAAGCTCTTGCACGAGCTCCCAAACAAGGCCCTGGCCTGGAAAATGGGCTACTTTGTGGTCCGTAACACTGAGGGGTGGACTTTCTCGACCCATTGAAGGGCGGCCATCCAAGATCCCGGTGTTAGGCTGGACCTGAAGACAAGGGAAGCACTCCAATCTTGGGCGGAGCTCGGTCTCAAGTTCGTGGACTACGTGACCGACGACCAGCTCGTGCAGACCGGTTTGAGTCCTGGTAGGTCGTTACTTGTTGTGTTGCCTTTATTTTATTTCGATATTGTTTCTGATAGTTTGCTTTTGTTGCACCAACCATGAAGATCCCTGCGACGGAACTCTTCGGTAGCATGAAGAAGGGAAAGAAGAAGTGAGCTTCCAAAAGAGCTCGCATTGAGTCTCCGCAGGCTGCCGTTCCAGAGCCCGAGCAACCCATATCCTCCGAGCAACCTCCCGTGATCGATCTGGTCGAGGAGGAATCAGGGAAGGTCTCCCCGCCCCGCGTGCCCGAGGAGGCAACATCTTCGGAGCCC